TCTCAGCTCAAGGACTTACAAACCAGGATGCTTTGCCTACTTTCTCAATAACCTCCTCTCTGACACTGGGCTGAGAAGAGCACATATTTCACAGGGCTATTCGAGGGGATACAACATGGGGAACATCTAGTTCTTATGTACGTGGTTACGTGATGAGTAAAACTTAGACTCAAGAGAGCACTCACGGGCAAACAGAAAGGGAAGCCTCACTAGATGGAATCACTCCAGTCTCATGATGGCGCTATTGCCACTTGGGATCAGTGAATATTAAGAATCAGGCTTTGCGCAGCCAGAGAGGATATTCCATCACCAAAGCTTTCACTAACCCTGAACCCAAGACCTGTGGATCTTGGTTGTCCTACCTGGAACAGTTCAGCCTGTGAGCAGCAGAGGGAGATTTCACAGAGATGGTGAAATTCAAAGCTCCCTCCCTTGTGTTCTCTTTCAGTCCCTGCAGTGCAAGCCCTGCTCCACCACCACCAGCTCAGCCCTTCTCTTCACAGGCCTTGGTTCATTGACTCACTTCACACTGTTCCTGACCCACTTTCGAGTATTTATGGATCTCTGTGGAAGGTTCTGGTGATCACACCCAAGGTGGTCTCTTCATACAAGGAACTCATAGGCCCCAGGGAAAGAAGGCAGAAACCCAATAAAATCGATAGAACCTAAGATCTCTCGCAACAAGAGTGTAAAAACTTAAGGGTACTGGAGCTCCTTTGTGGTTTCGCTGCTACATCCTCATTATCTAGAAGTGATATGAACCCTTGCAGGGTTCTATAAGGGAGAAATATCTGTTTGCACTGGATGGAGTCTGCCATTTAAAGTTAGCACAAGAGGGAGTGTAATGGCACACAGATCTACCATTAAAGGTCAAGAAAGGCTGAGTTCAGAAAGAGATGCTGGGGGTGACTGGAAAGGAACCCAGTAAAGGAACAAAGGGTGTGTTATGTGGACTAATTGCACTGTGGTTGAAGGTCATAACACATACTAAAGCTCAGTAGTGTATAGTGAGGTGAGTAATAATCCTGGCCATGTTGCAAAGAGAGAAGTGTGATGAGACACTTTCCAAAGAGTGTCAGTAAATACCCATCATGCCCGTGATCCCTCACTTGATAGAGCAGATTTCAGTCAGCCATAGTGTTGATGAACATGATCTGATTCATACTTCCCAGGCTGGTCAGTAGACCTGGGTACATAATCCCCATTTAGCTGATAAACAGAGACTTGCAGTTTTTGCCAAGGTGATACTTCTGATTGTGGCAGTTAGGAGCTCCTTTTTTTTCAGGAATCTCTCAGGAATATTACTTTATACTCTCACTTCTTTTGTGGGCATGAATCATTGTCCCGAGAGACTCTGTGGGGAAAGCAAGGCCAAGGGATTGGCGTGAAACCTGTCATCTTGGGTCTTGGACTGCGAACAAAGTGAAGTTTCCCAATTCATGAGGTTTTCACCCAACACATGAAGAATGAGTTTATACAAAAGCAACCTGTGTTGGCATGGATGTGGGGAGAAGAGACTCTCCTTCACTGCTGGTGGGAATGTCAACTGGTTCAGCCCTTTTGGAAAACAGTATGGACGATTCTCAAAAAATTAGAAATTGAACTCCCATTTGACCCAGCTAGACCACTTTTGGGAATATATCCTGGAGAGGCAAAAGAGTACAGTAGAAATAACATCTGCCCTTGTATGTTCCTTGCTGCACTGTTTACAATAGCCATCTGCAAAAAACCCAAGTGCCCAAGTACAGATGACTGGTTAAAGAAACTTGGGTTCATCTACACAGTGGAATACTATGCAGCTGTTAGAAAACATGAAGTGATGAAATTTGTGTATAAGTGGATCAACCTGGAAAGTATCATGTTAAGTGAAATGAGTCAGAAGGAGAGGGAGAGACATAGAAAGATTGCACTCATCTGTGGTATATAAAGTAACAGAATGGGAATTGAAGGTTTACTTCATGGCTTGGAAGCTGGCCTCAAATGCTGGCGTTAAAGGCAGCTCAGATAGAGAAAGGAACATCAAGTAAAGGGTATTTGGAGGACCAGCTCGGGTCCAAATATAGACTATAGATGGAACACAATGGTCACTCAGTGCCTGTAGTGCAAACTACAATACTCAAAAGGAAAGAGAGAACAAAAGGGAATGCACTATCTCTGAGGCAGGGTGGGGGGGGAAAGGTGGGGGTGGTGGGAGGGATACTGGGATCATTGGTGGCAGAGTTTGGGCACTGGTAGAGGGATGGGTACTCGAACATTGTATAACTGAAACTCAAACACGAAAGTTCGTAAGTCTGTAACTGTACCCCACTCTGATTCACCAATAAAAACAACAATAAACAAACTTAAAAAAAAAGAATGAGTTTATAATAAAATCATTGCAATGAAGGTTCATGGGCATTATGATGATTGGACTTTGAGCCAATAGGATTGTGCTCATGGAGAAGAGAAACCAGAATGTTCCGTCTGTCTGTTGATATCTATCACCACTCTCATAAGCGTATACCCACTCAGAGAAAAGTCCATGTGAGAACCAAGTAACCATCTATAAGCCAAAAAGAAAGCCCTCATTAGAAATGGACAAGCCAGAATATTGGGTTTGGACCTCTGGTTTCTGAACTGTAATCTAACACATTTACACGGCTCTGGCCAGGTGTCTCTTGTACAGTTGCAGCTCTGGGGATTGAGTCTTAAGATTCCTCTGCTGTGGCTGTGGCCATCTGCCAGAAGTCATCTCCTATGTCCTTTCTGGCAGCAAAGGACAGAAGCCGAAGCATCCAGACATTATAGCTAAACCTGTTATCTTCGTGTGTGTGTAGTGGGGGGACCACATCCAGAGTTTACTCTGAGTTCTGTAATCAGGGATCATTCCTGGTGGACGTGGGGGACCACTGATGGTGCAGATATGGAACAAGGGTTAGCTAAAAGCAAAGCAAGTTTCCGAGCCACTGTCCTACCTCTCTGGCCCTGCTAAGCCCTACTATGCACCTTCCACACTGATAGCATTAACCAAGAGTGAGGCCAGGGGTAAGGTGGAACTCAACCCCCTATTCCCTTTGCGTTGATAAAGACTAAAGAATGGTCTTTCACAGACACGATGTAGGAAGAGCGAGTGGCCTGGGACTGTTGGGATCCAGGACCATGAAAGTGACCAGGGCAGAGTGAACTCAAGGTCTGGAAACTATGAAGTGTGCAGCTTCTGTACATCCGCAGCTGAACTCAGCAAGGGGGCTTGGAGGTCTGCCGCCAGCTAGGAACCACTGAGTTGGCTGGGTTGTGTCTCAGGGAGCGTTTTCATGGACACATGATCACACGGGTTTATCACTTGGAGAAACGCTTGGAATCCAAGGGATGTATCTGGGGATCACTAGTGGGGAACACCAGTGGTGCTCTGAGGTCTCCAACTCGGGACCTTACACATACCAGGCATGCCCTCCTACCCTGTGTGCTCGCTCTCTCTCTGCCCCATCCAACCTCTTTGTCCCTCCTTTGACTCATCTTAAAAACGAGATCAATAAATCATGTGGCAGATGCCCACAGGATGCTCAGAAATCCAATAAATATTAGGTAAATTGTACAGCATCTGATCATTTGGAATAATGATCCCAAGGACTTCTGTTTTGAAAACTGAAGTCTTTAAATTAAGTCATTAGTCTTCTTTGCCTGGAGCTAAAAGAGAATAAAGCATTTCTATGAGGGAGAGGTCCCCATAGAGACAATCAAATCATAATCTCTTTGGTGTGTGGGTTGGCTTGTTCTGGATAGTTCTGTGTGTAGAATGCGCCAATACTCATCCTTTTTAAAGGTCACAAGTGGTGGTTTACTGTTTGGGTGGGGATCCCCTCGCCCCCAAAGCTTATATGAAAATCGTGTGTGTGTCAGGGGGGCACATGGACATGAAAGCCATCATGTTCTACATGTTTGTTTCTTCCACTGTGCAAACCCAGCTCCCGTCCACCATTCACTGAGGAGAAATGAACCGGGGGGAAGACGCAGGCACACCAAGGAGAGGCTTCAAGTCAAAGGCACAGGCATTCAGGCAGGCAGAGGAAGGAAGGAACATGCTGTACCCACCTGCCACTGCTGGTGAGGGGCTTATTTCTAAGACACACACAGCACAATGCACACACAATGCAGAGAGGAAACAAAAGACATAGATCACACATTTCAGATGGTTGGTGGGCAAAGTTCAAGTCACGTCAATGCTGAACGCCACCTCCGTCTCTGAGGTCCCCCAGGAGAAAATGGTCCCATCTCACCCTATGCCCGTGGGGCCTTCCTCCAACCAAATCTCAGCACACAGACACTTACGGACACACATAACATCGCACAGAGAGCTGGTCCTGGGCATGGTGTGAAATGTGACATGAGTGAAGAGATGGATAAAGTAGGGGGTGGTTGAAGAAGGTGCTTCCCTCCTTCAGCAATGGCCAGCGGTGGTTCTGGAGGTCTGTCCATCCAGAGGGAAGGAGGGACCCTCAGAGAAGGGTTTGTGGCCAGTGGGGGCCGAACCAGCATCTTGATGAGGACTCAGAAACCCTCCCACCATTCTTCCCCCAATGAGATGATGGAATGAGAGTCACAATGGAGGACTTGACTTGGCTTCTGTCTATAAACAGAACCCTGCAGACCAGAGGTTCTTCCCACCAAGGGTACCTTGACAGTAAAGCTCAAACATTCCCACAAATTTTAACTAACACTCCATTTGAATTAGCCCATCCTCCTGTTCTCCCCATTCATCAGGTTCAAAAGGCAACTGGTCCCCCTGGGAGAACACAAACCACATCTTTCAATGGGTCAGGACGTGCCCACTTCCTGCGAGGTATCATCAAATCCCACAGGAAAGGATGATGGCGAAAGTGTTTTATCAGCAAGGGTGGTAGGTGGACTGGGAGGGATGGACACAGGCCACACAACCATTACTCTCCTCCCTCAGCAGTGCGTCCCCCACCCCCAGGTCCCCCCATGGCTGATCCCTCTGCACTGGGGCTTCCTGCACTCACCATACAGTGTGATGCTGGCATTGGTGTTCCCCAGCTTGTTCGTGGCCACACACGTGTAGTTCCCATAATCCTTTTCTGAAACATTGAAGAAGGTCAGGGTGGACATGCGGCCTTTGTTCTCGATTCTCACCCCATCCAGGCCGGTGGCGAGCCTGCAGTCAGAGAGAGCACTGCTGGGTAGGTTCTGCTGAGAGGGGTTAAAGACAGGCAATGCTGCTGTGGAGCTCCTAGATACCCAACTTCAGGAGATGGTTCTACTGGGAGGCTTCTCCGTGCAAAGCAATGTTTCCTTCTAACTAAACCAGGCTCTCCCCTCCAACCCCAAGCAGCAAGTCTCTGGGAAGAAGAAAAAGGATCTTCAGCTTCAAAGGCTGAGTGTTGAAAGTAGGTGAAAGGATATGCCTGAAATCTCTCAGTATCTGTATTGCAAAACACAATGCCCCAGAGAAGGGTGGAGAGAGAGAGAGTTAGAGACAGAGAGAGAGAGAGAGAGGGATAGAGAGACGGAGGGAGGAAGGAGGAGAGAGAGGGAGCGAGAGAGAGGGAAAGTGTCTGCCATAGAGTTGGGGGTGGCAAGAGGGAAACTGGGGACATGGGTGATAGGAAACGTACACTGGTGAAGGGATGGGTGTTGGAACATTACATTACTGAAACCCAATAATAAAAAAACAAATAAACAAAGGCTGAATGGGTCAATATTCCAGCCTTGAAAATTGTTATGTCTAAAATCTAATCAGATTCAGAAACCAGGCTAACTTATTCTACCCACTTGCCAGCTTGTTCTGGTTTCCCATCCCCCCCCCCGCTCCCCCCCACCCCCCCACCCCCCCGCCAAGGTCTGGGCTGGAGCGATAGCACAGCGGTAGGGCGTTTGCCTTGCACGCAGCCAACATGGTCGACCAGAGTTCGATTCCTCCGCCCCTCTCAGAGAGCCCGGCAAGCTACCTAGAGTATCTTGCCCGCACAGCAGAGCCTGGCAAGCTCCCCGTGACGTATTCGATATGCCAAACACAGTAACAACAAGTCTCATGATGGAGACGTTACTGGGCCCACTCGAGCAAATCAATGAACAATGGGGAGGACGGTGACCGTGATCCCAAGGGTCTGGTTCTCAAAGGAGACTGTTATAAAGTTGGCTGCAATGGGCCCCTTTGGTAGGGGCCCATTGTCCCCTTTTACATTAGCAACCTTCCTCTGGGAGGGGCAGGGCCTTCTGTAGATGTGCCCTCCCTCCCTTTGTCCACGTACCTGGTATCTTCCTTGAACCACTGGAATTCAGCCATGGGTACCGCGGAGGCTTCGCAGCTCAAAATGCCCTTCTGACCCACCGAGACACCCGTGTTCTTGGCTTTGGAGATATAGGGAGGGTCTGCGGGGGAAGCACACATGGACCATGAGCGAGAGGGGAGACGCTTTCAGGCTGGCCAGAGCCCTCCTTCCCAGCGACACAACTGCACACTTGAGGAGAAGTACGAGGAGCTGGAAGATATCACAAGCATCCCAACGTCTTCTTCCAGCCTTCAAACCCATTCAGGATGCAGGGCTCTCTCTTAGCTAACAGCTCCCATGTTCACAGGGACAGTCCAGAGACACCCAAGGCCAGAGTGGGACCAGCTCTGGTTAGGTGCCTCCTTGTGGCATCCCTCAGAAAATAGCCTTGCCATGAGCATAATATTTATTCCCTAATCCCTCGGTCCTCACCCCGCCCCATGCTCGGGGAAGGATCCACTCACAGTTGACTGTGATCTTGACTTTCCGTACATCGGGCGCGGCCACGTCATTCAAGGCGCTACACTCATACTCGCCAGACTGGTCCCGTTTGATGTCGGAGATCTCCAGGTACTCGTCTTCACTCACAAAGCCCTGGCCTGTGGGGCAGACACAGACCGGAAACCATCAAGGAACTCCAAACAACACGCAGGACACTGGGCCTACGTAGAGCTTGTCAGAGAAAGAACGCACCGGGCTGCAAAAAGGGAGCTGGAGCAGCCAGTCAAAGAGCACAGGGCATGATACTGCCTCTCACATCCCAAACAGGTATTTGAAAAACAAGAACTTGCTTTGATCCAAGTCACTCATTGATTAGGTCAGATGATAAGATGGACTATCATTATTTTCTTCTGTGATCATGAGGGTCAACTTAAGAGAGTACATGCCCAGCATGTTAGCCAATGATGATTTTTAAAACAGCTGAGATAATCAATAATATAATGAAAATGGAGGAGTAACCGGGGTATCCCAGTATGGGCATCTTAATTTTATTTCACCAAGTAGTAATGTCTTTATTTACTAAACCCAAACTCTTAATATTTGGAGGATAAAACAGTGAAGTTTTATCCTCCAATATTAAGGCAGTCAATATCTGAATATAGGTAGATGCATAGCAGTTGGTTCACTGTAAAACTTCGTTGAATGAATAGAGGAATGAATGAATGAGAAAGTTTCTGACTGCTCTGGAGAGTGCTATGGTCTCCGCAATAGAAAATCTACACACTATCCCTCAAGCACAGAGCTACTGATACTAGAATGATCTCATGGATTTAATACCTAACACTAAGGAAGATTCTGCAGGGTTTTTTCTGAGATTCTCATGAAGCTTATGATTCATGATGGAAAACATTTGGAGCTGCAAAATGTACATTGCTTGCAGTCATCCTTTTATGATCCTACAATGATTGGGCCCTTCTACCATGTCTCCTATCTTGCTCCCTGTGGCTCAGTGCAAGAAGAACAGACCCTCTATCTTGAAGCACAAATGTTCTGAGTTCTGTCAAAGCACCAGGCTCCTGGGAAAATCCAGGGAACTTGAAGGCCAGGAAGGATGTCCAGCCATTTGCATTTCTTGTTTGCCTATAAGAAATGTCTGAGTCCCTTCTGTGCTCCAGGCTGAGAGGAGAATTAGTTTTCAGGAGGACAGAGACTCGGTGTACTTCACTCACATGCCCCTAGAAGCATATTTCAATCCAATACATGTTCTTTCTATCAAGTCTGAGTCGGCTATAGATGTGTGAGAGGGAATGAAGGGGCTGACAGGAAGGGTTCAGGAGGCTCAGGCCTCATGAACAATTTAAATAGCCCCAAATTATTCCCATTCTGTCATCCTGTGATGCTATGAAAGAAATCTCACTGACTAGCAAGGGAAGGCAACTGGCGAGCCACAGCCTGGAACCCTGCCTGTGGACAGGGTTGGGAAACAGTCCCCTAGGGGCAATGTGGAGGTTTTACAGGTGCAGTTGAAACCACATAGGAGGTAGCTGAGGGTGGAGGGCAAAAAATGCACCTCACAGAGAAAAAATAAGGCATGAGGCAGGTCTCTAACCCCTCAATCCAGGAGTCAGTCCTGTGTGAGATGGGAATTGCCAGCCTTAGCACAAGAGAGAAATGTAGAAGAGAAAATGCTTCTGAGCACTGAAGGCAGGGCCTGTCTGTGGGCCTCAATGACCTATGTCCCCCTCAGCTCCAACCAAAGTAGAGCACTAAAGGGTTTCTCCATTCCACAAGGCCATGAAAGGGTACATTCATCACCTCCTCCCATCCCCCTTTTTTTTCTTAGACTCACAAAATCTTCCATTCCTTTGAAATCATTTATTATGAAAATTGTAGAAAGGGTTAACACGTGATCACTTATTGAAGCAGTGCAGTTTAAGACTGAAACCAGAATGAAATCAAACAACCAAAAACACTTCCCAGAATTATCTCACCTTATCTGCATTGAATAAATATGAAAGGATTAAAAGGCTGGCTTCCTCACTACTAAGATTTGGTTCTCCTTCCCAAATGTACTACGGAATGTTTGCCACAAACCACCAGTCCACTGTACTTGGGTTGGAGAGACAATACCAGGGTTACAGGTCCTTCCTTGCATGCAGCTGGCCCTAATTAGCTCTCTGCCATGAGATATGTGGTCATCAGAACGACAGCAGGTGTGGCCCTGGAAAATCCTGAGTACGAAGGTGTCCCAGGTATCTGGAGTACCATGGGATCCAGCAGCATTGCATCTTTGGAACCTTGCATTGAGCCACTAACCTGATTAGCTAAAACTCAAGGGCAGATGACATTCCCACCATTAGTGGATGAGGGGACACTGAGGCTCTATAAAAGAAAAAATCATGCAATTTTCCAGGGAACTTCTTGCTGAGTGAAGTCAGACAGAAGGAAAGGGATAGATACAGAATGAGCACTCTCATATGTGGACCTTAAGGATGCACAGCAAGGGAGCAGCAAAGGGCCAAAGGCAAGAAAACAAATCTGATCCACAATCGAGTTGGTGTATGTGGGGTGGTGGAAAGGGAGTGGCATTGGCGTGCTTGGGGAGAGAGGCGGGTACACTGGTGATGGGGGTGGTGCTGGGGTTATGTGCATGAGAAACCACCAGTAACAGAATTGCAAATCATGGTACATCAATCCAGAAAAGTAAAAATAATTCAAAATTTGTGGGATGTAAAAAAACATAACATGAGACTAATACCCAAGGACAGTAGAAACAAGGGCTAGGAGGATTGGTCCACGGTTGGAAGCCTGCTTTAAGTGCTTGGGGCAGAGGCAATTGGGATAGAGAAGATAGTTGGAAAGAACGAGAAAGATAGTTGGAAATAATCACTCTGGATAAGAACTGCATGCTGAAAGTAGGAAAAGGAACAGACATGATAAGCACTCGGTATCTGTATTGCAAACCATAATGCCCCAAAGGACAGAAAGACAGAGAAAAGAGGAAAGTTCGTGCCATAGAGATAGGCTGGGGTGGTGGGGGTGGGGTGGGGGCTGTAGCAGGAAGGAAATGGGCAGTGGTGGTGGGAAAGGTTCACTGGTGGAGGTATGAGTTTTGGAACACTGTGTGACTGAAACCTGACCAGGAAAAGCCTTGTAATTGATTAAAATGGGGAAAAAAAACTCAGAATCAAAGGTAGGGCTCTGGGTCTCCAGAGATTGCTTGAGAGGATGCCTCCCCCCCACCCCCGCAACACACACACACACACACACACACACACACACACACACACACACACACATATTCCACTACAGTGAACCAAACACAGGTGTTACCTGTTACCTGCAGTGGGCCTCGTCAATCTTCAGGTGGAGTTTCTGACCCCTTTTTTTAGCAAGAAAAGCCCGATGTCTTCTAGCCCCTGTTGAGTCTAGCATGGAACCCCCAAAAGGAAAGGACTATTTCAAAGAAGACCAAGGATATTGGGAGGGGCAGTGAGTGAGTCTCTGCTCAGGGGCAGACCCTGAGTCCTGCAATGTGGCAGGGAGACACAAGTCCTGGACAGCATGACCACTGCTGAAACACAGGCTCCCCGTCCACTACCCCCACCTCCCACCACAGCGCTGCACTGCAGGACGGTTCTGTGACCACCACAAAAGGCAAGCAGGAAGAGTTAGTTTCCCATATCGTGGGGTCCCTCGGATAGTGCTGCCTCATTAAGTGAGAAAAAGAATTTTGTCAAGTTTGTAGTATAAATGCTTCACAGATTTTCATTTGCATGTAAATCCCTGAGGGATTAAAATATAGAGATTTGTGGTGTGTGTGTGTGTGTGTGTGTGTGTGTGTGTGTGTGTGTGTGTGTGTGTGTGCCTAAAATGGTTCTGACTCTGACTCAGAGGTCTGCAGTGGGGCCAGAATTCTGCATTTTCAGCAAGTGCCCAGATGTGGTCTGGACTGCTGGTTTGGGAAGCAGCCTCTGAGCACTGGAATTATAGAGCACCAGCAAGCATGGTTGTTGGCCTTGGAGATGTAAGTGAGTTTCAACTCTGATCCTGGTGAAGGGACCAGGTAACCCTCTCCTCTGAGTCGCCTTGCGCCGAGCACCTTGCTGGACCATGTGGACTCCTGAAAATCACCCTCTCGGACCAGACAAGACTAGCTGGACCGGGAGAGACAAGCTTTCTTCTGAGTGGTTGCTATGATTTCCTGCCAAACATGCATCGGCTCAAGCCCAGTTTTTATTGCTAAGAAACGGGAAGATGGTGTTGAAACCCTCCCCATCTCCAGCTCCCGGAAGGTGATTGAGATGCTATTTTCTTAACAACTTTGAAGACTGAGTGAAATTTTTAAAGCAGAACAAATCTAGGTTGCTAAATGCCTAGAGACTCAGGGAACGGCAGGGTCTTTGGCTCCCACCTCCCCGCCCTCTCCATTTCTGGTGGTGAAGGGAAATTGCCTGCTGTGGAGAAAGGGGCAGCAGACAAGTGTGTTGAAATCGGCTTTGCTGGCAGCGACCTGCTGAATGGGGAGGCAGAGGTCAACTGGTGGGCGGGAAAGGGGCTGGGAATTGGCAAGGGAGGAACTGGAGAGGAAGCAGGAGAAGAGGAGAGAGAAAGGAGGAGGAGAGGAGAGAAGAAGGGGGAGGGAAGGAGAGAGGAAGGGGGAGGAGGGGAGAGAGGATGGGAACTTTGGTTATAGGTGTCCCTAGAATAATTCGGAAGAAGCGCTCAGAAGCAGAGGCAGCAGACGCTGTACTTCAGTATCATCTCTGGTATACATATCCAAGTCTACACCACAGTCCTTCTTGATGGGGGACGGCCACCTTGTGAGGTCAGCTGACTCTAACCCAAAGGACTCCAGTGAAAACCAGATTTTGCCAGCTGGTGGGGATGTGACAATGATCTGCTGCAAACTGAACTTGGCAGGCTGGATCCAATAGCATGGCATGCCCTTACCACTAGGCACAACTCAGCTTTCAGTTTACCCTTTGTTGAGGTTTGTGGTCTTATTGAGGTTTTGTGACTTACAACAGGATTCCTATTTTTGTTCTGTGCTTAACCCGGTCCTGCACCACACCCTAAGAAAGTGCCATTGCCACCTCCCCTTCTTAGTCTCTTTCCTCTGCCATGAAGTGTCTCAGTTGTCCATTCTGTTGGCAGT